GTGAGCGCTACAGATACTAAAAAAAACTAGTGACGTACAGTGAGCGCTACAGATACTAAAAAAAACTAGTGACGTACAGTGAGCGCTACAGATACAAAAAAAAGAAAGTCATACAAAGATAACTGGGAATATTCAGAGACCGTCCCTGAATCTTTACACAAACCATTCTCACTTGCTTCTGCCTCATTTGGTAGAGTCAAACACGAGATTCACGTGGGGGAAGATAGGATGTGGGAGCCTCTTAAGGAGCTGGCAAATAGGTGAAGCCACTTATCAGGTGACAGGTCCCCAGGGTGAGTCGCTTTCTCCTATGTCCCTGACTTTGCCTGTAAAGTAATTGTAATTCACGGTCATGTTTACTAAGAACTGCAGTCCACTTTGCCTCACTACAAGCAACTGCTAGAAAGAAAAGGAGAGAGAAAAAAAAAAAAGGTTGTGATTAGGGAGCTTCTGTGCCAAGTTTCACACCGCTTGGAAATGAGAAGCCACGATTTGAATAAACTACGTTTCTTTTAAATTGTACTTATGAGTGGTGGATTCCAATATAATTCTCACTGCTGCTTCTTTTGTGGGTTTACACTTGTGACCTGAGGCAAATAAAATAGGAAGGGTATGTTGTTGCCAGCTACCACCTAGCTGACCCCAAACTCTTGGAGACCCCGTTCAGAATGTCAGTCCTCCACCATCCCCATGACCGGTTGTGCATCAGACCATCCATAGGGTTTTCTTCTTTCTCTCTCTTTTGTTTAAACATAATTTATTTTTATTGTTGTTGTTGAGAATGTACCCAGCAGAACATACACCAGTTCAACAGTTTCTACATGTATGATTCAGCAACGTTGATTATACTCTCAGTTCTGCAAACATTCTCACCCTCCTTTTCCAAGTTGTTCTTCCCGCATTAACATAAACTCACGAACCCTAAGTTTCCTATCTGATCTTTCAAATTGCTGGTGTCAGTTTGGTAGATAGATGTTAAAAGAGCATAGTCCTCAAGACAGACATTCTTTACTAGTTAAGCTAAACTATTATTTGGTTCTAAGAAGACTTCAGGGGATATTTTTGGTTTAAGGTATAAAGATTACCATATTTTTATGCAGATAACTCACACCTTCTACGTTTGTTTGCAACTGCGCTCTTCCCCTGCGAGGTATTTTCGTAGGCACTGCTTCACCAATTTTTTTACATGTTGTTGTGAAAAATATTGGCATAGTGAGATTACAAAAATACCTCATGGGGGGAGGGTGCAGTTGGCAAATAAACTTAGAAGGCATGAGTTATTTGCATAAAAATGCGGTATTTCAGGGCTACAGTTACTGGGATTCATTCAGTCTCCATGGATCCAGAAAGGCTGGATTCCATGAGAATTTCTTCCTGAGTTTCCCCCCTTTTGATCAGGATTGTTCTATAGAATTTTTGATCAATATGTTCAGTAATGTTAGCTAGGCACCATCTAGTTCTTCTGGTCTTGTGGCAAAGGAGACAGTTTTTCAGGGAGGCAGTTAGCGACACATTCCATATCCTCCCCCTATTCCTGACTTTCCTTTTTCGTTCCTTCCTGTTGCTCTAGGTGAATAGAGACCAATTGGTGTGCCTTGGATGGCCACTTGCACTACACAATGACCCCAGGCACTACACAATGAAGTAGGAGTTAGAACAGAAGCACTGACCATGTTGTTAGGCCAGTTAACTGGTATGTTCCATGAAACCATGTCCCTACCCCTTCAAACCAAGGAACCAAATCCCATGAGGTGTTTGGTGTACATAAGCAGCCATAGCAGCTACTTTTTTTTTGTCATTGTTATAAATATATCACACAACTTTTACCAATTCAACTTTTTACAGGTGTACAACTTATTGTCTGCAATGACAATAAATGACTGTGCAACCCTACCCGTAATCAATGTGATTTTTCCGTACCGTTAAACACCCCTTCCCCCCCCCCATCACACAACTTCTGCTAATTCAACGTTTTACAAGTGTACGGCTTATTGACAGCAATTATATTAATCGACTGTACAGCTCTACCCTTAATCAATGAGGTTTTTCCCTCACCATAAACCATAAGTCAGTACTCCATAAGCAATAACCTCCTGATCCATGGGGTTTTCATTGGCTGATTTTTGGAAGTAGATCACGAGGCCTTTCTTCCCACTCTGTCTTAGTCTGGAAACTCCACGGAGACTTATTCAGCACCACAGCAACAGGCAAGCCTCCACTGACAGACAGGTGGTGGCTGTGCATGAGTGCGTTGGCCAGGATTCAAACCCAAGTCTCCTGTGTGGAAGGTGGGAATTCTACCACTGAACTATATTTGCCTAAATAAACCTTTAAAAAGGAGAGGAGAGGAGAGGAGAGGCCCATTTCTTAATAGATCTCCGACCCTCTGGCTTGCCAAGATCTGGCCCATGGCCAGGCAGAACAGAAGCTGGAAGAGCGCCAGCGTCGGGACCCCTGCCTGCTCCAGCTCGCCACTGACAGTGTGAGCCAGGAGTCAGGACTCTGTGTTCCAATCCTGTTTGCCAGCTGCAGTCGCCAGCGCTGCCCCTCAGTGGCTCCCAGCAGACTTGGGTGGAGGGTTGGCCTGGACCTGCCTTTGGCGCCTGGCCTGGGGTCTGACCGAGTAGCTCAGGGCAGCTTTCTGAGGACACACCTTCACCTCCACAGTCGCTTTTTGGGGGCCACATGGAAAGCCACAGCTAGGTTCATTATAAAGTTAGGAGCTTGGAGTTCTGGGCAGATGAGGGATATCACTTCGTGCCTTTGTCCTGTAGCCCAATCAGTGGACAGGCTTCGTTCACATTCCTTCAGTGGTGTTACTGAAAGGCCTGGCAGCCCTGAAGTGTTTGAGTGTCCTTCAGCTCCTCTCAGGCTTTTCTGTTTTGCTGGTTCTTAGCTAGCATCTGGAAAGATCCACCGGGCACCCTGGGCTCTTTTTCCAAGAAACCACTTTCCCTTCAGGGAAGGCACAAGCAGCGCTGCTGGTATGAGTCTGGAGGAATTTTACAGCCTCTCATGTTACGCTACCTTTTTGTTGTCCTGCCTATTACTGGGGTGGTTTTAGGATGAGACACCTGGGACAGGTGCAGGGGGTGGGGGGCCGTGCGTGGAAAGGAGAAGTTAGCACTTGAAATTATATTTAATTTCTATTGATATTGGGCTAAGGTTTTAGAGGTTGGAGTTTGGGAAGGAAGATCTTAAATCAAAACTTCTTTTGGGGTCTTAAGGGCTTGATTTTAAAAAGTAGAAATAACCTGTATACTGTACTGGGTAGCACAAACAGTTAAGCGCTTGCCTACTAACCACTCAGAGGTGCCTCAGAAGAAAAGCCTGGCAATCTGCTTCCAAAAGATCACAGCCTTGAAGTCCTTATGGAGGACAGTTCTGCTCTGACACACATGGAGAATTGACTCTATGGCAGCTAGTATCCCCTTGGCTGAATGGACTGTTCCCAGCACCCCGTTCTGTGGCTCATACCTGCCTGCCACTTACCTGCTGTGGCACTTGGTAGCACATTCTTATCACCCGCTGCCATCTCCATCCTCGGAACAGCCTTTTGAAGGAGGAAATGTGATGGACTTGACTGCTCTTCCTGGAATGCAAACTGGATGTTTAGTTGAGGACGGTTTCAGTTAAATGCACGCATGCCTTTTTTAGGCAGCTAATTACAGTAAAAGGAAATTCTGGAATCCAAACTGCTACATTGCTAAAGGCAAATTCCTTGCCTGTCGAGGCTCATCCAGAAGGGTTTGTATACGGAAAACCTCTGCACAGAACAAAGAGATCCAGGCTGGTGAGGAATGAAGTCTTGGCTCTTGGCAGCTTCTTAACTGCTGGGAAAACGTCTGGGGGAAAAAGAATGACGGAGGCTAGGCTGGGTTTGAAGAAGTGTATGCTTTTTTATTTGTGTGGTTTTGGGGATGAACACTTAGCTGCCCCGAGGTTCCAGGGTGGCTCCTCTTTGCTCTCCTTCCGAGCACAGTGCCGCGTTCTCTTTCTGGAGTCGCTCCAGTCTTCAGACTTTGCTCATAAGTGGTGGCCTCCAAGGGCCGTGCAGCCGGGCTCCATCCAGAGGCTGAGCCCCACAACCTGCCTCTCTTGGAAAGCAGAATTGCACTGAGAAGCCCCCTCCCCACCCCCACCTCCTGGGGCAGGATTTGGAGCATTGACCTTCATCCCAGTTGGGTACCTTTAAAGTGGTACAGACCTGGAGAAATGACTAAAATGAGAGGAGGGGAGGCATGAGTTCTATTATTATTTTTTCCTAAATGGGATTTCCTGGGTCGTGGTGGTCCACTGTGCATGAGAACGGAAAGGCAAATCGTGGGCAGTCAAGTCACTCCAGAGATCGTGGCTCAGTTACGCTTACACAGCTCTCTGCAGGTGACGTTCTCCTCCTTGTAAAACATCTCTAATGCCACCTTCAACAGCCCTTTGTGCTGATGGCTCCCTTTTACCCAGTGAATAATGAGGCAACCCCAGTAAACTGGCTCTGGTTTTGGTGCCTGTCATGGATTGAATTTTGTCCCCCTAAAATGTCTGCCAACTTGGCTAGTCCATGTTTCCCGGTATTGTATGATTGTCCACCATTTTATGATCTGATGTGATTTTCCTATGTGTTGTAAATCCTACCTCTATGATGTTAATGAGGCAGGATTAGAGGCAGTTATGTTAATGAGGCAGGACTCAATCTACAAGATTAGGTTGTGTCTTAAACCAGTCTCTTTTGAGATATAAAACGGAGAGGCGAGCAGAGAGACATGGGGACCTCATACCCCCAAAAAACAAGAGCCAGGAGAATAGCGCGTCTTTTGGACCCGGGGCCCCTGCACTGAGAAGTTCCTCGCCTGGGGAAGATTGGTGACAAGGACTTTCCCCCAGAGCCAACAGAGAGAGAGAGCCTTCCCCTGGAGCTGACACCCTGAATTCGAACTTCTAGCCTCCTAGACTGTGAGAGAATAAATTTCTGTTTGTTAAAGCCGTCTACTTGTGGTATTTCTGTTATAGCAGCACTAGATGACTAAGACAGTGCCCCTCACCTTCACAACGGAAACACTGTCATTTAATCTTCCTTAATGTCAAGTGAGGAGCCCTGGTGGTGCAGTGGTTAAGAGCTAAGCTGCTAACCAAAAGGTCAGCAGTTCGAATCCATCAGCTGCTCCTTGGAAACCCTCTGGGGCAGTTCTTCTCTGTCCTATAGGGTAGCTACAAGTTGGAATTGACTCAGCAGCAACGGGCTTGGTTTTGGTTTTGTTAATGTCAAGTGTGATGCTTTTACTTATTGCCCATCCACCCTTGGGGGCGTAGTGGAGTGGAGCTGCCTCCTGTGCGTGTTATAGCGAGCAGAATGGACCATGAGGGTGAAGGCGGTGTTGCATTGGACCCTGGTGCAGCTTCAGGGCATCAGAAGGGTTTGGAAAGCCTCCCTCAGTCCCCACAACACACACCGGCCTGGGTGAGGTCTGCCGCACGGCTGGTGTGTGTTTAACTAGAAAGTGAACATGGAAGGCTTTGTGGCCAAGAGGGAAAGATTCTTGGATTTTGATGCTTCGAGTGAGGGAGATTCAAGCTCCCGTAGCCACAGTTAGGATTCAGAAATGTAGTTACCCTGCGTTTACATTGCCTTCTGCATTCCAGCATGCGTCCCCCTCCCTTGGATTACCAGGGAATGATTTACATATTGTCCCCTCGCAGGAGCTGATCTCTGTAAACAGTGACACAGTATTTCATCCAAATCTTCCTGATTTCTAGGGAGAAAATAGAGTGATTTATTTCCCGGTGCACTTCAGCTGACCTTGCCTGGAGGGAGGGCCAGCAGAGCTCATGATGACCTCATTCCATTCCAACAGGACTTCCTGGGACACACAGTGCCTCATTCTCCCTCTGCCCCTCTCTGATCAGTCCCATTAAAGCTCTAAGCTTTCAGAGCAGATTGTGGCGACGTCTAATATTTGTCCCTCTTGGACTTCAGCGTGAGGTCAAGCAAACACACAAAGCAATCATTATGCTTTAGGCAGTGCTGGAACCTTCTACGTCAGCTGGAGAAGCGGGGGTGGGGGGAGGTTGCAGTGAGGTGGGACACCGTCTCAGGCAGGAAGTCGCAGACCGAAAAGAGATGCAAGGGCTTTGGTGGGAAATAAATGGCACTGTGTTGTTGATGGAAAGAGCTCTTGGCAGGACTGTTGTTGTGAGTGTTCTGTGGCTTAGAAAGGAATTTCCTACAGGCTGAACTAACCATTAAAAATGTCTCTACCTTCAGGAGTCCCAGGCACGCAGTAGAGCCTCACTGGGGGAAATGTCTGCGTGGACGATGGGCGCCCGCCTTCTGGACAAGCGTGGAAGTTTCTTTAAGGTAAAAGGAAGCCTTGATTGTGATTGCTAATTGTCAGCCTGCTCGCTGTGCTGGCTGTCTGGGGAATCCACTCTCCCCGAGCTGCAGAGGAAAACCCTGCTCTCAGCCACCTCTGTCTAAGGAAACAGCCTGAGCCCAGCTGCGAGCTGTTAGCATGGTTTATAGTAGGGTGGGATTTTTGCAATTTAGCGCTTCCATACTGAAATTACAAAATGCACAGGACTCTGGCACGGAGAGGTGCTATGGTGTGTAGGACAACTGAGGCAACCTTTATTTGTGAACTGCTTAGCATTTTCTTTTTCAGCTGAGCAGCTTGATGGTGGAAGCTCTTTAAAATCCAGACTTTGCATTCCAGAGAGTTGATGCTGTAGCCTGTGTGTTCTACCCTTTGCTTGATTGCTTGAATCACTTGAGTGCTCGTAAAAACAGATTCCTGGGCCTCACCCTTGACTGACTGAATCTTATTTGCTGGGGATGGCTTGGGAGTCTGTATCTGATCAAACACCCGAGAAGCTTCTTATGATCAGGCAAGGTGTGGGAGAAACATGGCCATGTGGTCAAAAGCGTACAGCTTTTCTGTGCTCATGTTAATGCTGACAGGGTAAAATCACCTTACTAGCTTAACGAGGTAAGATTTTAAATGGGTGTTTTATGTACGAGTTGTGTGTGTATGTGTGTGTGCACGCATTTTAAATTAAGACTCAGTGGTCATTCTAATTTATACGTGGAAATTAATTTATTTCCTGTGTTTTTTTGCTTTCTTTCCTTTCTCTTACTCTCCAAATAATGCATGCTCATTGTAAGAAATTTGGAAAATACAGAATCATGTTAAAAAGTAGAAAAATGGAGGTGAAATGTTCATTTGAAATTTGTCACTGGCAGGTGTTCTGACACCAGGTCTTTGCCCCAGAGGGGAAGAAGTACAGAGGCACTTTAGCTTTATTACGGAGGAAAATAGTCTGTTTAATAATTATACCAACCCTTATGGGCCGTAAGAATATATCAACTCTTATTTGTATGCTCCCTATTTCCAAGAGACCAAAATTGATTTATGGTGTCGGTTATGACTCCACAAAAATCCACCAGAATAACCTGTTGATGAAGCAAAGCCAAGTTCATTAAACCTGCTGCTGTAGGGAGACCATCTCTAGGACACAGCCTGGTAGTGTCAAAGCCAGGCAAGGTCAGGACATCGTATTTATATAGGCTCACGTGGTATAAGCTGTGTTTGTTCAGGCAGTGAACTGATTAGATTTTGGTGAAGTTTATGACGTAAGAGTTTACAATTGGTGGACACAATAAGACAAAGGTCTTGAGGCAAGTTTTGTTAAGTAAATCATCATTTGATCACCAGTTTGTTTTCCTAGATGAGCAAATTGTTTGCCGGAAAAATTTGTTTCATAGGAATTTCCTGCCGCAAATAGTGAAGTTATTTATTGTTTTACAGCCTTAACTTCCTGGGCAAGAATATCTTGGAACAAATAGTTAAGTTATGTTGACACAGATGGTCTCAGTTCTTAGTCATAATAGTTCAGCTATGTGGACACAAGTCGTCCCAATCCTCAACTGATGCACTGAGTTTTAAGCAAACCTGTATGAGATCTGCCCACATGAGGCAGGTAAGGGAGTGCTCCAATGTCGCAGCGGCGATGGTTGTCGGGGCGGCGGAGATAGTAACCAATGCCACAACTCTTACAGAGAAGTGGGGCCAGGAGGGTCACTCTGAGGAGTTGAACCTTGGCTTCAGTCCCAGGAGTTTGTTTTATAGTCAGTACAGCAAGCAGTGAAGCAAATAACAGAACAATGGGCTTTGGGTGAATAACAATAAGTTTCGGGCAAGGGAGGAGGAATTCAGGTAAACAAGCCAATCAGTAACGGGTTTGGAAAAACAAGTCGTGACAAGTCTCAACATGTTGGGGACAAGTCTCAACATGCTGTGCAGCATAGAAGCCTTTATACATCCATATTTTAATGGCACATATCCCCACACCTCAAGACTCCTTAGATCCGAAGCTGAACCCACCAGGTCTCCTGACTCATCCTCCAGGTTCTTGGATTGCATCTTATGAGGATGTACATTTTCCATCTGGTGGAAGGGATGAACCATAAAAACCAAAACCTAACCAAACCCGTTGCTGTCCAGTTGATTCTACCTCATAGTGACCCTATAGAGCAGAATAGAACCTGCCCCCATAGGGTTTCCAAGGCTATAAATCTTTGTGAAAGCAGACTGCCACATCTTTCTCCTGCAGAACGGCTGGTGGGTTTTAACTGCTGACCTTTCTAAGCCAGCCTAAAATATTGGCTAGTTGATGACTACCAGTTTATGCTCTCCGGAAGCACAGTGGGGTTGTATCTTACATAGGCTTTGATTTTACTTTTGTACCTTACATTGACTTCGATTTTAAAGTCAATGCAAAAGAAAATCAAGTATAGTCCGAATTGCTTTGGAAAATTCCTTAGGAAGATGCTATGTTAGATCCAATACTACCTACCATTACGTTGATTATAGCCAGTCCTCCGCAGTCCTGGGAAGGATCATGTTGAACACCAGGTAAAGTATTGGGCTCTGTTATATGACAGAATTAATCAGGCCAGAGGTGAAAGGTCTGCCTGTAACCCCTGAGAGCACTGCAGATTCCTGCCTCCTACCTCCAGATCCTTCCTGGGCCAGATACTCTTGAGGGAAATGCTGGCAAAACGGCCTGCACTATTTAACATGTTTTGTCTGTTTTTTTTTTTCTTTTTTTTTTTCCTGAGCTTCAGTTTAATTTATTTAAGTTGGATGCTCCATGTAAATGATGCAGCTGCCATATGTTTCTTTTCTTTCTTACAGACATTGTTTTATAGACATTGTTATTCTTTACTGCTGCTGTTCTGTACTTAGCCACCAGCATTAGGCATGTAGTCATCTGCAAGCATGAGGTAAACTACGTCTAGACATTTAGTGCTGACTTGGAAGGTTCATGAGCTGGAGTGGAGTTCACTTGCTGAGATGGTTTGTCACTCAGAGAATTCTGGGACCCACTGGCCCTTTTTTTACTTCTCATGCTTTATTTCAATTTTTGAGTGCCCTTGATCAACCAAGCTCTGTACTAGGCCCTGGGGAGAGAAAACCAAAAACCATCCCTGACCTCAGGGATCTTTCAGTCTGGTGAAACAGAACAGTCACATCACTAAACACATAAATCAGAAAAGAAAAAAATGCTTCATGTAAGAGTAAAAGGGGCTCGAGGCTAGCCTGAGGTCCCAGAGAAAACCTTCCTGAGGAAGTGGCCGTTGATTTGAGAACTGGGGTTGCCTCTCTATTATCTAAGAAGTGGAGGTGACTCCCTTAGGCTGCTGCAATGCATTCCTCAATGTACATTTGTGATGCCCTATAACTGGATGGAACAATTTGGTAAGTGTGAGGATTCTTGCTTACATTTTTGACTCATGGCTGAGTGCCACATGCTTACTACTCCTTTCTTGGTTATTAGTGCTCATGTAAAGTAGAGGGTCAGCAAAAAAGAGGAAGACCCTCAACGAGATGGATTGACTCAGTGGCTGCAGCAGTGGGCTCAAGCATAACAACGATTGTGAGGATGGCGCAGGACCAGGCAGTGTTTCATTCTGCTGCACATGGGGTCACTGTGAGTCCAGACTGACTTGAGGGCACCTAACAACAACAACAACAGTGCTCATGTGATTTTGCATTAAGTGTAGATAATTGAAAGGCCACTCACTGGACCTCTTTTCATCATTATCCTCCCCCATCAAGTCTGTGTTTTTAAATCAGAGATGCTAACCAGGAGTAGAAAGCCTTGATTTGTGGTTTCCTGTCTGTCCTGGCTCATGGAAATGACTCAGATAAATTTCAGGACGTCAGGAGCGGGGCTTATATACAGACTGGGCTGTCTGAGATAACTGAGAATGCCCTGTGGCTCTTGTTCAAGTGTAATCTCATCCTGGAAGCTCTGACCACATAAACCCTAGGCTGGAAAAACATCCCCACAGGACTTCCTGGCACCATGGTGAATTTTCCTCAACCACTCGTGAGGAGTAGCATCTTCCTGTTCTACAGAGTCACTGTGGAAATGTTTGGAGGGTGAAGCCTTAGACAAGGCATCCAAGGTTATCTGCATTTCAGTGTTTTTACCATGGTGTAATAGAAGTCTACACCTATTGCTATGAAATTTCAAGGGTGTGTTGTTGGAAAAAGATTGTATAAGAAAAGCATTATTTAGGCTGCAAAAGTTCTAGGTAGTCCTGAACTAGGGGTAGGCAAGCTCAAAGTCATCTTTGATCCCTCCTTTTTCTAAATCCCACAGCCTCCTGCAAGCCACCCCACCCTCATCCCAGTGTTGGCAAATCCTCCTCCAAAAAAAAAAACAAAACCAAAGCTGTTGCCGTCGAGTCGATTCCAATTCATAGCAACCCTATAGGACAGAGTAGAACGGTCCCATAGGGTTTCCAAGGAGCGCCTGGTGGATTCAAACTGCAGAACTTTTGGTTAGCAGCCGAAGCTCTTAACCACTATGCCACCAGGGTTTCCAAATCTTCCTCAAGTATCCTAAATCCATGCCCTCCTTCCCTTTCCTACCTCCACCTTCCTACTCAGGTTCTCATCTGTCATTTGTGGGCATTATGGGTCATGCGCAAAACCCACCTTCCCCACCACTGGATGTGCTTGTTTGTTTTCTTCTGGCCACTGTCTTCTGTATTCCTAGGGCCGCCCTAACAAAGTGCCACAGATTACATAGGTGGCTGATAAGAACAGAAGTTTATTGTCTCACAGGTCTGGAGACTAGAAGTCCGAATTCAGGGTGTTGACAGGGCTGTGTTTTCTCCAAAGGCTCTAGAGAAAGATTCTTCCCTCTCTGTCTCACATACCCACCCACACACACACACAGAGCTTGTGGTAGCCCCAGGCATTCCTTGGCTTGCAGCTACACCGTCCCTCCCTTGTCACATGGCCATCTTCCCTCCGTTAGGAGGACAACACTCAAATTGGATTAGGA